TTGGAGGTTCCACATGGGCAAAGATGCCGGTGCCATTTCTACCACTAGTAGAATGACCCTTTTCACTATTAGCTTCCCCCTTGTCGGAGTTAGCATCCGTCACCTTGTTAGTGGGATCACCCATTTTCATAGGCGAGGTAGATAGTTTAAGTCCTTCTAAGAATTTATTAAACATGCTTTCAACCTCGGTCATCATGGAGGTTTTCAATGTGTCCAAAGCCACATTAAATTCCTCACGAGAGACCGCGGTTCCCCCATCGGCCGTAGACGAGCTCGGATTCACGCTGGAGTGCTCCTCCCCACCGTCTACGGTGTCGACCATACTCTTCGAACGACAAAGTCCTTAAAAAGAGACGAGGCTCTGATACCAATTGAAAGGATCGATATAGTTGGCTAGAGGGGGGGTGAATAGGCAACTAGCACTTTTTAACTTTTCTTTACCAAATTAAACTTTGCATCAAAGTAGGTTGTCTAGATATGCAACTAGGTGAGAAACCTATATGATGCAACAACAACAAGCACACAAGCAAGCAAGGGATACAGCATAAATAAGCTTGCACAAGTAAAGGCACGAGATAACCAAGAGTGGAGCCGGTGAAGACGAGGATGTGTTACCGAAGTTCCTTCCTTTTGAGGGGAAGTACGTCTCCGTTAGAGCGGTGTGGAGGCACAATGCTCCCCAAGAAGCCACTAGGGCCACCGTATTCTTCTCACACTCTCACACAATGCGAGATGCCGTGATTCCACTATTGGTGCCCTTGAAGGCGGCGACCGAACCTTTACAAACAAGGTTGGGGCAATCTCCACAACTTAATTGGAGGCTCCCAACGATACCACGAAGCTTCACCACAATGGACTATGGCTCCGCGGTGAGCTCAACAGTCTAGGGTGCTCAAACACCCAAGAGTAACAAGATCCGCTAGGGATTAGTGGGGGAAATCAAATTTCTCTTGGTGGAAGTGTAGATCGGGGCCTTCTCACCCAATCCCGAGCAAATCAACAAGTTTGATTGGTTAGGGAGAGAGATCGGGCGAAAATGGAGCTTGGAGCAACAATGGATCTTAGGGTTGGAAGAGATAGTCAACTAGAGGAAGAAGACACCCCTTATATAGTGGAGAGACAAATCCAACCGTTATCCACTTAACAAGCTCGTGACTTGCGGTACTACCGCCCCAGACTAGCGGTACTACTGCAAGGGCTCACGGTACTACCGCGGCGGACCACGGTACTACCGCTGCTACGGCAGGAGCTAGTACAGGTCTGAGCCACAAAGGCTGAGGGCGGTACTGCCGCTGGCGCGGTACTACCGCTCCCCCTTGCGGTACTACCGCAGGGCCGAATTGGACTAGCCTGGGAAGGGCACGGATGAATAAAAATAGATCCGTGCCTACTTCCGCTAAAAATCAAATGGTGCAAAAATCCGACACGGTACTACCACACCTGGCACGTGGTACTATCGCGGAGGGAGCGGATGTAAAAAATTACATCCACCCCTACTTCTGCTCGTGTTGCTATGCTAGACCAGGACCCACGGTACTACCGCGCGCATGGGGCGGTACTACCACGTAGGGCGCGGATGTAAAAAATTACATCCGCCCCTACAGCCGCACGAGCGGCTGGGTCTGGTCCGAGGCCACGGTACTACCGCTCCTTAGGAGCGGTACTACCGTGGGCACCTACTGTACTACCGCAACGGCGTGCGGTACTACCGCGGGGGCCTACGGTACTACCGCTCCTAAGAGCAGTACTACCGCATGCCTCAGAACAGCAACACTAGGAATCCTTCTTTTTGCAAAATATGAAGAAAACGGAGGATGCTCCAAAGCACAGAGGGAAAGACGGTGTAAAGGGAGAAAACGTGTACGTGATTATTCCACCCGAACCTTTCCAACGCGGACCCCCTCTTAATAGTACGACTATCCTACGACTCAAATCCACCGAAAAGATCCATAGAAAAACGCCGTATTCAATAGTCTTCGAGGGGCACCAAACCGTCTTGTGCCTAGTGACGAATTGTCTGAGATACTCAAGGCACACGATTGTTCCGCAAGAGCATTGTCATCAATCACCAAAACACCTTAGGGATAAATATGCCCTTACACCGTGGCTACGCCTCCCCCCACTAGGTCGACGTGCCCTACTTGAGCCCAAGCTGGGTTGAAGCAGGCTTCATCACGACGCGTCCCACGAGCAAGGAGGGGCAAGGTGTCGGCCCTCCCATCCGCGACGACCCCCACCACCACACCAGCCACGCAACAAACACAGATCGAGATCCAGATCGGGACGACCCCGACCGAATCCTCACCCCCAACGCCACGGCGCCGCACCACCGCCTCCCAGCCTATCAGCCGCCGGATCATGATGTCCCTGAAACTTATGCAACATATTTATATTATTTGATTGTTTCATGCTAATTTTTCCCTAATAATAAAGTATGGATTGACTCCTTGGGTTCACCGTCGCGACATGTTTACGGTAAACCCCTATATTTTTATTGTAATCAACCCGCAGTCCTATTGTTCCAGTTAACCCCAATCGGCACGGACGAAAAAAAACCCTACCCGGAAGCCCACGACCTTTACCTCCCAATCCCATCTCCACCAACAGTGAGCCGCCGCCGCGCGCCGCCACCACCGGCCCCCGCCCATCCGCCGCACGCCGCCACTGCCGGCCAATGCAGCCGCGCCCACCCCTACCCGACGTGCCTCCATCCATGCGGTTTTCCTCCGCCGGCGACAATCAAAGCCGGCTCCGCTCCTTCCCCAACTCATCTTTCCCCCGTAGGATTTGCCATGGTGACGGTGAGTTCGATAGCATAACGTCCAATAATCCTAGACGTACAGGTTCTTACAAGCAATTACGGGGCCTTCCCTTAAATCTCTTCGCCCCCCCTGATTTCTACCCAGGGTGGTGCCGCCTCACTCTCCATCTATCCAATTCTGTTAAGCCAACTCAGCCCGTAATTAATCTCTGCCCGTAATTACCCGTACGTGTAGCATTGCTCCATAACGTCAGGTCCTAGGGATGGCCATGCATGGGTGGTTGTACCCCCGTAGGATTTGTAGCAACGTTAGCACCAGTACCTTCTCTGTCACACTAGTCGTCGCCAGGTACACCCATTGATCTCCGGGATCACCAGCCATGGCAACACTACTACCGTCCATGAAGTATACCCATGATGACAAGTTAAAAGAGATAACTCCCGAGGCGGCGCCTCCAAGAAAAAAACTACGTCAGCAGACTACAGTAATGGGTCTTCACCTGGATCCAAAGATGAGGAGCACAACCATAGTGAGTAGTGACGCCTAATATGATGGGAGTGACGATGCTCATGAGAAGTGTTGAGCTTGGTTGCATACCAACCAACTACTCTTCTGAGACAACAAGAAGGCAATGGTTGTCGGTGATTTTTTATGCTGCATTTTTTTATAATACAGAAATATCTTTGCTAAAATTACACGAATATTTGAGTGTACTTATAATATGAAGAGTTAAAAAAATAGTTTCACAGAAAAAAGTACAGTATATACTCCAAGAATGAACAAGTCAAGCTCAAATGCAGGAAACTTCAGTATATCTTCATCAACTCCAATGCAGACGTGACAAGCGAGGGGACGCTGACAGCATGGCGGCTAAGACCGACGCTCCCGGAGAAAGCATTGAAGCACTCGAGCTCCGAGGTGGTGCCAGCGATGCACCTCAAGTCGCCTTCCATCCCATGCTCCACGAACATGGCCATGTAACGCGGGTCCAATTGCATCATGGCGACTGTGAGCTCGATAGCGTAACGGCGGATCCAAGGGATGGCCATGCATGGGCGCCTGTACTCCCGCAGGATATGCAGCAACATCTGCACCAGTGCCTTCTCCGTCACACTTGCCCCCGCCAGGCACGCCCGCAGGTCTCCGGCTCCATGAATCGGAGCATCTGCACTGCGAGGCCGAGGAAGATGTTGAGGATTTTGTTCTTCTCGACCATGATGGCACTCAGCACCTGCGTAAAACGGTCATGAATTGTGATCAGTAATGTTTAGTACTCCCTCCGTTTTTATTTACTCCACATACTATGTTCATCTAAAGTCAAACTTTATATACTTTCAATAAATTTGTAGAAAAATATATTAACATATACACCACCAATCAATACCGTTGATTCACCATTGCATATATTTTCACATCATATAAATTTGTTACTGTAAATATTTATATTGTTTTCTATAAATTTGGTCAAACTTTAAAAAAATTGACTTCAGTTAAAGCTAATACGCCGAGTAATAGAAACGGAGGGCAATGTTTAGAGCATCTCCAACAGGCGCCCAAAAAAAGCTCAACGCACTAAACATTCGTTTTTTTGGGCGCCGAACAGCTCCAACAGATGTTGTAAAATATTGTGCGCGCTACGAAGTTTTTTGCACGCGCTGAAAAACGATATCGCGCGCAACATATTTTGTTCCGGATTGCGCGCGCTTCACAATTTGCACTACGTGCTTTTTTAGGCGCGTGTTTTTGGGCGTCTGCTAAATTAGTGTTGATCCCGGCGCATTAAAAGTGCTGCAGTGGCACGCTATAACTATTATTGGACGCGGAATTTTATGGGGCTGTTGGAGGTGCTCTTAGTCTACTCAGAAGCACAAGATGCAATTGTCCGTACCTTGGTGGCACCTGTGGTGACTCCTCTCAGGGGAAGCTGCCACTCGTCCCCGGCGTAGGTGCAAAGGTTGAGCAGGATTCTCGCCACACCGATGATGACGACGGCGTCACTCAGGGCCTCGACCAGCCGCTCCACGCCTCCGCCGCAAGCCATTATTATGGCGCCGCAGTTCGTCCTGCTTTCCAGCGCAAGCATGGCCAGCGCCTCGCCGGACTCCACCCGGATCGCGTCTGTCTGCCAGTTTCCTTTAGCCTGATCCTTTCCCGGTAGAAATATCGCGACCAGCTCTCTGACCACACCCCCCGTCCCGCCTATCTTCTCCCTCGCCTCCTTGTCAATGGCGAGGCTCGTCAGCACCTCGATCGCCAGCTGGTGCAGCTCGGACTGGACCTTTCCGTCACGCTGCTCCAGCACAGCACCTCCATGAGGTTGCTCACCGTGAACACGATGTCGGAAAGCTCCCTTCGTAGAAGCTTCCCGGTGGTCCCCGTCATGCCCGTCAGCCTCTTCACCACAAGTAGCGACTGCTTCACCGCCTTCAGCCGCATATCCGTCGGCGCTACCGCCTGTCCCCCGCCAGTGATGCTACAGTATGAAATGATCTTGTCGACGAGATTCCGGGTCTTGCCGATCTTGTCGCAGTTATCATGGTCGTACGCCAGCTTATTGAGGATGGAGAGGCCGAGGAGGTTGAGCTCGTCGAGGTCGGCGTACAGCAACGAAGCCACGGACTCCACCGCCCCAGGGATGCTGGTGACGCGGAGGGCAACGAACTTCCTCCCGGTGAGCATGGAGACAACAACCGCGGCCGATCTGCGCACGTCCCTCTCGGACGTGCTCTTCCAGCTGAGCATCTGGATGAGCCGCTCGATGGTGGGGGCGGACATGCCGATCTTGCGAAGCGTGGAGTCCTCGAAGCGGTGGGACTCGGCGAGAGCGACAAGGATGCCGGCCCCTAGGCTCTGCTCGTCGTGCGAGCCCGCGTTGAGCATGCCGTCGGCGTAGGACAAGAGGTCCATGTGCAGGCCGTCGAAGATGCTCCCATTCAGGCTCCGGGAGTAAGAGGAGTAGAAGAAGCGGCGGACGGCGACCAGGCCAGACGCGTTGGCGAGGTGGCACTCCTTGGCGACGCGCTCGAGGAGGCGGTGGTGCCCCATCCTCCAGTGCCACAGGGCCTTCTCGGCGAGGAACAAGAGCGACTCCACGAGCGCGAGCCCGTAGAATATGTCGAGCGCGGCGCGGCGGTTGGTCCAGTGGTCGGCGCTGTCGCCGCCGTAGCGCTGGGTGACGAGGCGGACGAGCGAGACGGCGACGCACACCGACGCGGACAGCAGCTGAAGCCAGTGGAAGACGTGGACGGCGGCGGCCCGCGAGACGGGCGGGCAGCACCGCCAGGGCGTGACCCTCTGCTGCCACTACAGCTCGTGGCTGCGGCCCTGGATGCGGGCGCCCTCGGTGAGCAGCAGCACGGTGATGCACCAGAAGTCGGTGCAGCTGAGCGTGATGGCGAAGCCGCCGAGCAGGACGACCGTGGCCCAGATGAAGGCCAGCGTGCCGAGGCGGCTCACGGCCTTCTCGAGGACCGCGAGCTGCATGGCCAACACGGTGAGCCGGTGCTCCGGCGGCGCCACCTCGCAGTCGTCGACGCCGAAGCGGATGCGATCCATCCTTGCCTTGTGTCACTTACGTACCGTGTGTCTGACAGGTGACTGGCTGCGTACTTGACGAGCGATTGCAGATTAGCCCGTGCTCCAGAGTACTACTTATATACGCCCGATTGCAGATCATTAGCCACGTTGCTAATTACGTAAAGTACGTAACCATCTCTACGTAAGTGTAGCATTACTGGTGCAGGGAGGACACGAGGAAGGCGTGTGTGCTTGGAAGAGCTGTCAATTCGGGTTCAGGGATGGAGATATTTTCTTCTTTATTCTTGTTACAGAGAATGTTGCTCCCTAAGGCAATGGATGGTATGCTTGACCAACTGCATTTGCAGGCTCGGCAGCTATGCACAACTATATTTAGGTTGGCCATAGTGGGTAACATAAGTAATATTATACACTTAAGACTCGCAAACATGCTTATATGGCAGACAATTAAAGAAGAAAGATGGTTATAGTAATATAGGTAGATACCGTAACATAATAAATATGATGCTACTATGTGTCATGCATGGCAATAAATGAGACCACCTATGATACTAATCTATAATACTATGCACTATAGAGATAGTAACATAAACTAGTAACATGTGCATGTTACTACTCTAAGTTACTCCCCACTATGACCAGCCTTACGATACTTTTTGAAATCTTGCTAAATCTCAGTTAACTAAGACTTGATTATGTCTTAGTTGATGCTATATTTATGAGATCTTACAATGGAATTTGTGCAAATTTTCTTTTCACTTTTTTCTTTTACCCTTTTTAGTACAAGTTATGTCAATTGATTGAGACTGGTTAAGTCTTAATCGACTCTGACCTAGTCACATCTTTAAAAAAAAAGAAAATCAATGAAAATCATGAAACATAAAAATAAAAATTAAAGAAGAATAAACATAAAAAAGAAACAACAAAAGAAAATCCTATACCTAGCCATGTCCTTATCTGCTCTGGTGGTCACAAGGCAGTTATCAAATGATGTCATTGTTCACGCGTTGCTGTCACCGGCCAGAGCTTTCTTGATGCACCGTCTCTCCTCAATTTCCAGAAGAGCAAAGTGTTCGTCTGTTGTGGTCGACTCTGCTTATTTTCCATTCAGTTTTCATGCTACAATCATCACCTAAACAGATAAACTCCGCATTATTTAAATTAATCAATTGTTCTGTTTAACGCGGCATTGCTGTTAGCAATTACGTGAAGCTCTTTCGCATGCTTAGGGCATGACCAATGCATAGCCTCAGGGTGATAACCAATAGATCATGTAGGATCGGATATCAAAAAAAGTAGGTCCGAATGAAGCACCGGGATCCTCTGCAGGAAGCGGATGCTTGGAGAGAGAAAATATGATCCGGCGCATAAAGCTGAAAAGGTTGAAGTGAAGAATAGAGATGCATGTGTAGTGAGAGTCTTTTTTTTTCTTTTTGATGAGACCCACTAGTGCTAACTTGCATCGGAGAGAAAAATCAGTGTTAATGCCTCAAGCTACTTTTTCTCATGGGGCAACGTATTCATATGCCACCATAGTTCATGCCCTTAGTCAGCCATTGGCTTGGCCGTTGTTTGGCCTTCCGACACGTCATGTCCATAGCACGTGAACTTGGGTACAGGTTCTACTACAGAATCACAGCATCATAGATTGCAAATCCACCACCTGCCTGGCACGTGTCCCCTAGCAAAAAATCTAGGGTTAGAATGTCCTCCGACACTCACCGCCCAGAGTTTCTCGATCGCCATCTCTACGACGTGGATCACTTCCCTTGCTACTCCGCAAACTCTTTTTGTACGTAACGGTACATCTGCCACGAGTAAATCTAGAGTTAGACTATCCTATCATAGTTAGAAAAAGGACACATGAATGATACACATTCTCTCTTTTCCGACTCAAGATACTCTCTCTCTCTCTCTCTCTCTCTCTCTCTTAAATCCATCACTTTAATTTTCTTTTCTATAATTTGGATGATTCATATCTCTTAAAAAATCCATTTCTAAAACTTCTATATATTTGAACTTCTTGCGCCAAGATCTTCAGAACAAGATCAAACCAGGATACATTTGAAACACGTTTAATTTTTGAGATTTCACATTTCATATGTGAAACAAACCTATTTAGCTATTTCATTAGAAAAATGTGAAAAAAAACATATTTTTACTATAAAAATGTAAAACCGACCTATTTCATTCAAAACCTATTTATCCCAACGAAAAAGCTAATTTCCTGCCAGCAGGAATTTAGTAATAGGCGTGGACAATTCAACAGGTCCGAATGCTTTTTTCTTTTCTTCCTAACTAATCACTCAACTAACTCTTGTTTTTCTATTAGCTAATAGCATCCATGCACGGAGGAAATGCATGCAGCATGCATTGATCACTATTTCATGCATGCATACAAGTTAGGAGACAAAAAAAGATAACGTCAGCAAAGGATTCTTCCTATTTCAAAGCTTTAAAACGTTTTGTAGCTCAAACCATCACTCGAATTTAAAATCCATTTTCACATAAAAAATCATCTCGACGAGATCTTCGAAACTAGATCCCATGTCAGTATGTTTCGATGACTTTTTTTTCAGGTCAAAAGTTACCACATCTTGACTACATAAACTATCACGCCTACAGTACGTAACTTATCATGGTCTTTACACTAAAGTTACACGGGGTATGTTTCAACTACTTTTTGTCCGGATCAAAATTTACCATGGTATTTGTAAATAAATTATCAGGTATGTAATACCATCGTCTAGCATCGGTGTCGTGTTTGGGCCGTGATGTGAGGTTTATATGCCAAGTTGTTGAATATTTGTTCCCGTATTCAGATTCAAAGTATGGTCTCATGATCGACACAATGTACTTGTTGTAAACCAAATACAAACCAAGCTATTTGATAATTTTTACCATTTGTATTAGTGTAAAAGAATATTTTTACAAAGATTGCTTCCTAGCCAAATTTACCCTCTCTGAATTATTCATCCATTATTTTTGTGAAAATGTTGTTGAAAAGATAACCCCGGTAGCTTATGTGCAAATGACATGATAATATATGCAACACATACATGATAACTTATGTACAAACACCATGCTAATATACACTCCGCGAATCTAATAACTTTTTGTACAAACACTATGATACCTTTGACCTGAGAAAAAAAGGTTGTTGAAAACAGAAACTTGGTAACTTATATGCAATTATGATTGTAAAATACGCACCACGGACCTGATAGCTTAGATACAAAAACCGCGGTAACTTCGACTGCGAGGGGAATTTGGTTGAAACATACCCTCGATTGGGGGGGGGGGTGTTATTGAAAGCGTACCCCTGATAATTTCAGTGTGGAGAGCATGGTAATTTACGCATCTCACACCTGATAACTGACGTACAACCATTGTGGTAACTTTGGCAGGGATGGGGGTTGTTGTAATACACCTTCGATAATTTCTGTGTGAATAGCATGATAATTTACGCACAGTAGACCTGATAACTTATGTGCAACACATTAATAACATTTGACGCGGAAAAATAAATCTGAAGATACATGTCCCCGATAATTTTTGTGTGAACTACACGGTAATTTACGCATCGGAGACCTGATAACTTATATACAAATACGGTGATAACTTTTGACCCGGTAACTCATGTGTAAATAACATGGTAATATATGCACAACTGAGTGGATAATTTGCTTAGTTCGGGTGTGATAACTTTTGACCAGAAGGGTGGGAGGGACTTGTTTGAAGTTAAACTAACTATTAGTGGACAATGGACATGCACATAAAAAGGAAACGATATGAGCTATGTCGGAAGTTAGCACTGCCCTTATGTGAATAGCATGATAACTCACATGTCGCAGACCTGATAACTTATTGACCTCAGTCCTGGTAACTTTGGCATGGGGGGAGGGGTTGATGAAATATCCCCTCGATAACTTTTGGGTGAATAGCATGGTAACTTACACATCACAGACCTGATAACTTATGTGTCTCGGTCCAGATAACTTTGGCGAGGGGCTTGTTTAAAAGCATACCCCCGACAACTTTCCTGTAAATAGTTTGGCACTATACGCATCGTATAGGTGATAACTCATGCACAATCACCGTAGTAATTTTAACCCGAGCTAATAAGAAGTTAGAAGGTTTATGCCCCGGTAATATCTGTGTAAACAACATGGTAACATATGTATCTCATGCATGATATCTTACTTAGCCCATAAGTGGTAACTTTTGATCCGAAATAAAAGTTGTCTGAACAAATCAACATAGAATCTAGTTTTGATGCTCTCTTCGAGATGGTTTTTTATGTGAAACCACCCAGTGAAAAATGAAATGTAGGCTGAAAACAAAAAAAATGAAACTGAAATGTCAACTTGTGAAACTATTATTTGGAATGAGTGAAATATGTTAATATGAAATCTTTTTAATGAGTGAATATGTTATATGAAATGAGTGAAATTTGTTTTGGAATGTTTGAAATCAGTTTAAAATGAGCAAAATATGTTATTATGAAA